ATATGGTTGTATGAGTTAGCTACAAACCTTCTTGGGATGGGAGAAAAAGCATATATAAATCCAGAAATTTTAAACAAATTATGGGAAATGTGGAAATTAGACAAATTTATAGGAAGCAGAATAGAAAGTATGTTTTGGGGGCTATTCCTTATCTGTCACATATGTTTCTTATATCTTTGACAGGAAGAAAATGAATACATTTGAAATTTCAGGAGATGCTTTTCTGAACACCAATGCAGAACTTGGCTTTTAAGTTTTGCTGTATAATTCAATGAATTTTGAAGGGAAGACCTCTCTATCTTTGGAATGCCTATCATTCTGTTTACTCTCTGAGAAAATCTTCAACTGGTGACATTGTGCCAGGCAACCACTCTGTTGTTTAATGCCAAGTATTTGCTTTTCCTTTCTTTTTTTCCCTTTTTTTCTCAAGTGACAAACTGTATTAGGACAAAAAGAACAACAAGGACAATTTTAAGCTTTTAAGAAAGTTTTGCATCTTGGTAACTAGTCAAAAGATACTACATGACTGAGCACTGAGCATGGAAAGCTGTACTTTTCTCAAAAGGGCAACAATTTTTGAGAACATTTTGAGCTTTTGCCTGTCATCTAACTTTCAAACACACAAATATAGACTCATAAATTTACTTTTTCATTTTAGATCTATGTCATCTTTCATTGTGAATGTCTCTTTTTAAGGCAGTATAAAACAAAAATAACATCCAGTAATTGAAAACTTCAAAACATATTCATTATTAAGTTAAATCTCCGGAGTAAACAGTTGTGGTCCCTTAAACTAAGGGAAATGAATATTAAGAGGATTACTGTGGGGAAAGCATTAGTTAAATGACTATAAAGACAACAGCCCCAAAGGGACGGTTTTCACAAATAACAGAAAAAATATTTTGTCCAGAGAGCATTTTTAAAAAGCTGCTTGTTCATGTGTGTACCTTTTATTTTAAAGAGCAGAATGTTACAAAATTTAGACTGCTTAAGTAACATTTAGAAGTTGAAGAAAGAAAAAAGAGGAATTACAATGACCTATTAGACACACAAGGAAGATTAAAAACGAGACAAGAACTACAGCAACAAAATATAAAGATAGATTGGTGGCCATACATGCAAATTCAGGCGAGATACCAGAAGGACAGAGAACAATTCTACAAGAAATGGAAAAGAAAATGATTTTTATAATATATAACTTAATATATAATTTTCTACTAGATTTTAAAATGGAAGAGGAGGTGGTCAAAGAGACGATGGTGGTATGGGTGAAAAATGTTGGCCACAGTATAGACCTGGAAAATTGGGAGAGAATGTGGGGATCAAATTACAGACTAATTACATCCACAGCATACAAGGAAAATCAATACAAAATGTTCTACAGATGGCACCTCCCCCCCCCCCCGCAAGATTGGCAAAAATGTTTAACTCAGACCCAAATTGTTGGAAATGTGGAAAAGAAAAGGACACTTATTTTCATACCTGGTGGACATGCCAGGAAGTGAATATTGGAATACAATTAGACAGTGGATAGAAGAAATTATGAATCAGAAAATTGAATTTAATCCAGAAACTTTTTTAATAGGTATAATAACACAAAAATGCAATAAAACAGATAGATATATCATGTTCCATGCATTAACAGCTTCAAAGATCTCGTATGCACAACTCTGGAAGGAAAAAAGGGTTCCACCGGAAGGCATGGTTATAAAAAAATAATAGATTGTATAGAGATGGACAGGCTAATGATGAAAATAAAAGACAGAGAAGATTCAATTTATTATAGGGCTGGGGATGCCCGGTATGAGTGGTTTAGAAATAAAAATAAAATAAAATGGCAATTAGGAAAAGAATGAGGGAATATGTAAATATACCTTGGAGAAGAGTGATCTGTAAGGATAAAAGATATTGATTTATAGTAAGATGTAATGGTAAAGGAATGAGTAAATACATATACTGAAAAATGTGAGGAGATGCAAAAGATGTCTTGATGTTGATAACAATGTATAAAGTATTATTTTATGTTTTTAAAATTTGAAAGCTTAATAAAATTTATTTTTTAAAAAATAGAAGTTGAAGAAAGATATATAGGAGAGAAACCTTAAAATAAACTAACAGTTCTCTTTCTAATTTTCTTAGACTTTGTTTCTGTTAACTAGGTACAGTGTTCTCCTAAGCATTAATGAATAAATAAGCTACGGCACAGATTTAAAACTTGCCTCATCAGGCCTGCTAGAAAAAGAAAGCCTAATTGGGCCAAGTAAGGCCTAATTAGGCCTCCCCAGATTTGGAATTTGTAATAGAACAGAGTTGAAAGGGACCCTGGAAGTGTTCTGGTCTGGCCCTTGCTCAAGAAAGAAACCCTAAACAATTTCAGAGAGGTGGTTGTCCAATCTCATCTTTAAAATCTCCATTGTTGGATCACTCACAACTTCTGGAGGCAAGGCATTCCATTGATCAGGAAATTTCTCCTTAATTCTAGGTTGGTTCTCTCCTTGATTAATTTCCATCCATTGCTTCTTTATTTATTTATTTATTTTATTTTATTTTATTTTATTTTATTTTATTTGTCAATTGTTTACAAGATAATAAGTATAAGTGTATACATAGTTATGAATACATGAAATGGGTACATATAAGAAAAATAAAAGAAAAATAAAAGAAACAATAGGACAGGGACGGTAGGCACGTTGGTGCGCTTATGCACGCCCCCTAGAGACCTCTTAGGAAAGGGGTGAGGTCAATAGTAGACAGTCTAAGGTTAAAGTTTTTGGGGTTTGGGGAAGAAACTGGTATTTTGGAGAATTGGAGACCCTGGCTTCTTTGTGGCATTCTTTGTTAAAACAATTATATCTAAAAATCATAATTAACTCACTATTGTTTCTACTCTACTTTGCAGGCATGGAACACAACAGATTCTTTCTACTTGATCAGTAAATGGAGTTACACTTTGCTCATAAACCATGGTTAAATAAACCATATACTGTGAACTGCAAATTGGGTCAGGGAAAGAAAATGAAAATAACCTAATTAGTCTTGGATTATTGTGTGTGCATCTGACCTCTGCACTGTAAAATTATCTGCATTTATTTTCTGTCTCTGTTTGGAAAAGACGACTATAACCAGGTCCATTTTCATTTTTAAACCCACCTTCCCCCAAAAGACTCAACTAATTCTCTCCCATGCATTCACTAAAATATGGAAGGGGATTGTGTGAGTGAAAGACTACAACCCTTTCTTTCAGATATGCTTTTATTTTTTTCCTTAGTGAGAGTTCCATAGTTGTTTGTCATATGTAAGGCTACCAAAAATGGATTTCAAAATCTGAGCTTCAAACAGTTACATGTCAGGCTTCCTGGATCACCATTGCAGGAGTGTTGAAATCCAACAGGTGCCCCCCCCTCTACCATGACTCCTCCTGAAACATAGATAACAGGATCAGTCACAAGGCCTTATTATGCTTCGTCCCTCCCACCTGCTTTTGTGGGATGTATCCAGTGAAAGAACCATCTCAACTGAGGAGCGGACACATCTGTATGTGGTACCCATGCAGCATCTGTTATAGGATACCCCTTCCAATGAACTAATATTGTAATACCCCATGTCTTCGTCTGGAATCGAGTATCTCATTGATTTCATAATGGTCATCCCGAATCGGTCCTGGGATTGTTAATCTAGGTTCCAACCTCATCGTATCAGCACATTTCAATAAATTACTATGAAATATAGGGTGGACTTGCTTAAAATGAGAGGGTAGTTTAAGGCCACAGGATTTATTACTATAACCACTTAGAAAAGACCAATGTATTTTGGGCCCAGTTTCTTACTAGCCAACCCTAAATTTATGAACTTAATTGACAGATACACCCATTCTCCAGCTTTAAATGGGATGGGCTTGGACCTCTTTTTCTCTGCTTGCTTTTTATATGCTTCTTGTGCTTTTGTTAATGGTGTTTGTACTGCTTTCCACTTATTTTGTTTCGGTTATTTCTATTTTCTAATACAATTTGCACTTTGTTGGGGTCCATTTCTATTCCTTTTTCTGATATGCGATATCCCAGATAGTCCAGTTGTTTAGTATGGAATTTATTTATTTTGTCAAGCCATTATAAGACAACAGGTATAAGTATAAACATAGTTATGGATACATGAAATGGATACATATAAGAAAAAGAAAAGAAATAAAAATAAAAAAGAAACAATATGACAGGGACGGTATTGGTGCGCTTATGCACACCCCTACGGACCTCTTAGGAAATGGGTGAGGTCAATAGTAGACAGTCTAAGGTTAAAGTTTTTGGGGTTTGGGGAAGAAACAACAGAGTCAGGAAGAGTATTCCAGACATTGACCACTCTGTTACTGAAGTCGTACTTCCTGCAATCAAGTTTGGTGCGGTTTACCTTGAGTTTGTATCTATTGTGTACTCTTGTATTGTTATGGTTGAAGCTGAAGTATTCATTGACAGGAAGGACATTGCAAAGTATGATTTTATGTACTATACTTAGATCAGACCAAAGGCGGCATAGTTCTAGGTTTTCTAGGTCTAGAATTTCAAGTCTGATGGAATAAGGTATTCTGCAATGAGTAGAGGAGTGGAGAACTCTTCTTGTGAAATATTTCTGGACTTTCTCAACTATGTTAATATCAGATATGCAATGTGGGTTCCAGACTGATGAGCTGTATTCGAGTATTGGTCTAGCAAATATTTTGTATGCTCTCGTTAGTAGTGTGATATTACCAGAGAAAAAGCTATGTAGGATTAGGTTAACAACTCTTAATGCCTTTTTGGCTATGTAGTTACAGTGGGCTCTAACACTTAGATCATTAGAGATGAGGACTCCAGGGTCCTTGACAGAGTTTGGATCATCAACAAGGTCTTGACTATTTAGCTTGTATTTTATTTTCTGATATATTTTTTTTTGCCAGTACGTAAGACAGAGCATTTATTTGTTGAGATTTGAAGTTGCCATTTGTTTGACCATTCTGATACATAGTTAAGGTTTTTTTGAAGGGTAGCAGTATTGTCTGTGGTGTTGAATAGCTTTACATCATAAGTGAAGAGGACGCAGTTGCTCTTAATATGATCACAGAGACCATTTATATGGAGTATGAAGAGAGCTGGTCCTAGAACACTGCCTTGGGGGACACCACTGTTGACAGGTACAGAATTTGATAGGACGCTCCCAATTTTGACCATTTGTTGTCTGTTTGACAGGAATGCTTCTATCTGGTTATGCAGGTGTCCAGAGATACCATAAGATTTTAGTTTTAGGAGTAGTTTGTGGTGTACCACTGAATCAAAGGCTTTACAGAAGTCTATGTAGATTGCGTCTATTGTTTTTCCCTGATCGAGTTGTGTAGTCCATATGTTTCTGCAGTGTAAGAATTGCAGATTACAGAATAGTTTTTTCTGAAACCAAATTGTTTATTAGAGAGTAGGTTGTTTGCCTCTAAGTGGAAGATGATGGATTGGTTAATAATTGATTCCACGACTTTACAAGTGATGCAGCATAAAGAGATTGGTCTGTAATTTTCAACTAGGCTGGGGTCTCCCTTTTTGAAGATGGGGATGACCGTGGCTTGAGACTGTAGGTTTGGCAAGATTATGCTTAGAGGTTTGGCTATGGCAGTGGATAGCTTTTTTAAGAAGTAGGCACATATTCCGTCCAGTCCAATAGATAGAGATGGTTTTAGATTGTGTTGTGCTTTTTCAATGTTGTCTTCTGTAAAATCAATATGTATTGGATCATTGTAGTCATCTGTGGTTCGACTAGGAAATACTGGGCATGATCCATTGCTGTTTACAAATACTGATCCAAAGAATGTGTTAGTTCTGTTCTATTTTCTCATCCAAATCATTTGTTTTTCCCTTTCTCTTTATAGAATGATTCAACCTGTTTTTAAATTTGATTTTCTTTTGTTGGCTTCTTCCTCTTCACTAAATTTGCTCTTTGTTATTGTATTTTTGAGGGTTATCCTACTGATAGATACACAGAGATCTGATGTCCTTTACATTCTCAACTGTTCTGTTGCTTTAGAAAATATAAATATATTACATAATCTAGTGTTATAATAAGGATTTCTCCAAGTAATAGAAAGAAGTTTCATTCCCCTGAATTGTTTCTAGAAGGAAAATGTATATGTACTGAATCACTTCCCCAATTAAAAGTAGTAGTTTTTCTCCAAACTTTTTGTTGTTTCCTATCCATGCTAACCAAATAATTCAGAAGTAGGCAGATGTAAACTTGCAAATGATGGGACATCATTATATTATTTTTCCACCTCTTCTTTTGAAGCCTCAAGTATTAATCATAACTGAAGGCAGAAAAAGACAGGTTTTGATGGATACATGTACAGATCCAACAAGACCCATAGTATGCTTCTAGTCATCACTGATGGTTAAAATAGAAAAATTACAGAATTTAGAGAACACTCAGGGCTTTTTTTTAGCATAGTGACATGTTGAACTGCCATGCTCAGTGTGATTAACCAGCCAGGCAACACTAGAAAAGTAGAATTCTTCCAGTTATAAAATACGTATAACAGTGCTGGAGTTAATCCATGAATATTATGACAATACATGGGGACTTTCAAAGGAAGGAGACTGCTAACATTTCTTGAAAAGATATAAAGAAAATTATTTAAACTTTTGCCTTCACAAAAAGAGTTAAGGCTTGAAAAGAATTGATTTCCTGGGAATTTTAAGGGTCTGCTTTTGACAGCTTTATTTTTGTCTTAAGGCTCATTTTGCAGTAATTTTCTGGTTGCCATGATTCTTTTTGATAACACCCCCCCCCCCTTCTTGAAATGTTAGAATTCAGAATGTCTCATGTCAGTGTGGTTTCTTAAGTAACAGCTCCTAGCCTTGGGAGTTGCAAATGAAAGTTGTAATCTGACAGTAGTTGTTTATCACAGCTCTTCGGTATAATAGGATAATGTTACTGGTAGTCTATAAATAGGAGACCTTTCATGCCAGCACACATCACCTGCAGAGTTTTTTCTTCAGTCCAACTTAATATCTTGCCATCTGCTTATTGAAAGGAAGATGTAATAATTTCCTATTGCAGAATGATTTGATCCCTGTGCTCTAGAGGAACATGGGACCCTAACTCATGTACTCCTTGATGTCTTTTTTAAAGTAACTTACATTGCATCCCCTACTTCACCCATCAATAGAAGTCTCTTTTGTCTTAAACACATTCTTATTTTTTTTTTATTTGCTATCATACCAGAACTACAATATCACTGAGAGAGTTACAAAATCTCTAACAACTGACATTGGCCAAGTGGTGGGATTCAAAAAATTTTTTGCTCCTGGTTCTGTGGGTGTGGCTTGGTGGGTATGGCAGGGGAAGGTTATTGCAAAATCCCCATTCCCTCCCCACCCCACTAATCTGCTTTCCAGCTCCATTTGTTGCAGAGCAACAAAAGAAGACCCAGATGATCACCTGGGACTCGGGAGGCAGAGAATAGATGGGGGTGGGCCAGTCAGAGGTGGTATTTGCCAGTTCTCCGAACTACTCAAAATTTCTGCTACCATTTCTCCAGAACTGACCAGAACCTGCTGAATACCACCTCTGCATTGGCCTATACAGGAAGCTGTTTTGCTAATGTTCTGATTTTATTAATATACACTTTTATTTTGTTCTATGTTTTTTATATTGCATCTAGGTTTTATCTCTTGTTGTAACTTACTTATAACTAATCAATATATGCTGGCCACATAGTAAGAAGAAATGGTGGCAGATGGACTAAGTCAGTCATAGAATGGATCCTACTTGATAAAAAGTGTCCATAAAAGAGACATAAAACAAGATGGAGCAATGGCATCAGCAGGTATTGGGGGTCACCTGGCAAAGGAATGCTCAAGACCATATTGGTTGGAGACATACAGAAGAAGCCTTCACCCTCCAGTGGACAGATAATGAATGAATGAATGAATGAATGAATATGATGTTATTTAAATGCATTTACATACACATAAACACCTGTCTCTATGGATTCACTCAATAGTCTAAAATCCAGTATAGGATTTTACTCTTAAGGTATTATAAGTCATCTTGTTTTTATACTTAGATTCTACTTTTAAATCTTGCTATCCATACCTACTGTACGGTAATAAATATAATATGCATTCTTCTTGATATTTTACAAATGTTTCCAACTTCAAGATGTTTATAATATTTATTCTTTATTTCTTATGTCATGGTTTTCTAAGCTTTGTTCCTTTGATATTTTTAAATACTTTTTGTGGAGTAGACTAATTAATTCACTTGTCAATGACTATAATAAAGATTATCTAGCTAGCTAGCTAGCTATTAAATGTGCTTCATTATATATTGACAAAAATAAGGGGGAAAGGAGAAAAACGTGGAAAGAATACTTTTTTTTCATTTCAACTTGAAACAGTGTATGATTTTCTTTACAGCCCTGATATAAACATTCAATTCAAAATCCATATCTGACCAATACTTTATCAGGACAATCAAACATACTACAAAAGTATATGCAGGCAGCCATCTTTGAGTTTTTAAGCTGAATCAAATGTGACAGGCATGCTGAAGGAGAATTATTATGCAAATCTTTTTACTGGTAACTTTTTTTTTTAACTATAGTTTCATTCATAGACTCCACTTTCAGAATGCCCCAAATATTCCTATTAATGAATATAACCAAGAACATATATGCATGTTTAGACAAAAGTGTACCAACTAAGTTTTTTCAGAGCAGAATGGAAATCTTAATCAGAACATATATGAATGGAAATTTTGTGCACATTTTTAACAATACCATAATATTACCCTAAAGGTCTATAAGTTCATAAAAATTATTGGGAAAAGTTGTAGAATGGCAAATAACAAACTTGAAAATATTAAAGGAGGAGGTAGCTAAAAAGAGATATCAGTGAAAGAGTTGCAAAAACTGTTATGTGTGATGTAGTGATGTGTGATTCAGTGATGCAAAATATTATTAACCACAAAAATACTGAAGGATGCTTTTTGAACAATGGAATCAGAAGTTAATACTGACAATGTCCATAGCGTTGTTTGTTTCTATGAATAGACTGTACCAAAAATGTATTCTGAAATAATTGGCAGATGAGGCTATATATTGCAGTTATCTAAAAAGTTTATTTTCTGTGAGGGTTGCTAACTTGAGTCAACTAGAAGGTGTAGTGATTTGGTACGTTATTGCTATTGTTGATAGCTGTACTTCTGACCTTATATAGTTACTCGATTACCTCGGGCTGTCTACTGTTGGTATCATTCTTGCAGAGTCACAGGAGTTAGCTTTTCTGGAAGTTTCATAAAGAAAGCAATTCTAGCATCTTTTGTTGATCGCTTTAAAAAAACTTTACAATGGCAGTAAAGTGAGATGGGTGGAGGGGAGCCTTTACACTGCCTCATCTTATCTTTTAAGGGAGAAGCACATAAAAATGAATCAACAGACTTTTGATAATCGGATCCATAGGATGCTTTATTAGGGAAAATACTGCAGTATGGACCCCTCTACTCCAGAAAAAAAACATTTTCTAGGAGGAAGGAGACACTCCCATTTAGTGAATACAGCTTATATAGGTTTATCAAATCACATGGTTACATAACACTGCCTGTTTTCCATATATGGATGTTATACAACGTTATACAACATTTTCATAAGAAAGTTCCAACCTTCCATGGAAAACTTCCAACATTCTCATTATATTCAGATTTCCTGTTATTCAAATTCCAGAAGATTATAAGAAAACATTAATATCTCTTAATGTGATTTATAATGTCAGAGCACCCCAGCACATACCTCTAACTTATGCCAAGTACATAGTTTTGCAATCTGGTATAATTGTCCAGCAAAAACACATTTCATAACTGTTCTGAGCTTTAAAATTTCAGACTGCGAACACAAAATGGCTTCAGTTCATCTCTTTATATTCTTAGGTGTAATAACCAAAGTTTTACTTATAACAGTATTGCAGTCACAGGAGTTAGTTTTTCTGGAAGTTTCATAAAGGA